GAAAAGGAAATATATATATATATATATATATATATATATATATATATATATATATATATATATATGAAACTATATATAAACTTATATTATATATATTAAACTGGATTGACACGGTATTGCGATGAGGCTTTTTATTCAGTTTTTCTACCAAGTATTTTCTTTTGTGGACATAAAGTGTGTAAAAACTGACCAAATGTTATATATATACGTGCTCATTCAGCTATTCTATTAGTCATCATTAAGGATGATTTTTAATGGAATATGTAGATTTTTTTAATAATTGTATCTATAGGAATGGGATTTTCCTATTATTTTCCAAACGCAGTCACACGCTGTGGCCGTGTTCATATATGATATTAATTACTGACATTTTCATTTTTATTATTAATGCTTCCATTATTTTTAGCCGTTTTTTTCTTTTACATGTTTATTAGGCTATTATGGTCGTATTTGTATTAGGATATTATGGTCGTATTATGGTTGTATATTATGGTCGTGTTTGCATTAGGCTATTATGGTCGTATTTTTCACAAATATGTTGCGGATGGAGTTTGGCAAGTTTCCGTGTGTTATTAAATGGGTACTAATTGAACTATTCTTTTACACACCTTGTGTACAGAAAAGAAAATACATGTCCGAATGCAAGAAGAATTCAATAGAAAGCTTAATCTTAGTACCTTGTCAGAAGTCTTTAATAAAACGTGCATAAAAACCGTATTCTTATCCAAATACACAATTGTATATATATATATATATATATATATATATATATATATATATAGGTAACTATACTCGTCTCGAAAAACCTTCGAATTTTTGATTTGCCAATAATCAAATCAATCTCGAAGGAAAAAAGATTTAAAAAAAAGAAAGAGCCAGGGACATTAAAGTCTGTCGAAAAAATCGCACAGATACAGGTTCAAATCCCAAAGAAAAAACCCCGACACAAGTAAAGAACTAACTAAAAAGAGCTCAATACAACCGTAGATCAGATCTAGTCAAGCCTAGTGAGCCACACAAATCTACCCAGGTTTCACCTAAGCGGATCGTCAGCCAGCTTTCCCTGACGATCCGCTTAGGTGAAACTTGGATAGGTTTGTCTGGCTCACTAGGTTTGACTATATATATATATATATATATATATATATATATATATATATATATATATACAGACAGAGAGAGAGAGAGAGAGAGTGTGTGTGTGTGTGTGTGTGTGTCAAAGAAATGAAGATGATTGATTGAATTAATTATTACAAGCTATTTAAATATCAGTGCCAGAAATTGTTGGTTTATCCATGCTGGGTGACTTCTACGACGTCGAAATGGCAGGTACGGAAAATATGAGCATTGCAAAGCATTTTACCCAAGACGAAATAGAACAACAAGAATTCTTCACACTCCTCCACCACTTCCCAGATCTGTTATACTTAAATGGCACTGATAATTTGATTCCGAAGATAGGCGCAGACGTTTTGGGATGCGAGCCTGAGGATGTGGAATCATAATTTATGGATATCGATTAGCTGATCGAAGTGAGCATGCCTGTGAGTGAGCGTCACGCAACAAAGCAATTATTGTTTTGTGCAAAAGAAGCGACGATTTTTCTGTGAAGCATGTCTATATTCTTGTCGATATATACTCCCTGAAGCAGAGCAGTGAACAATCAAGTATCATTGGGATGAGGAGTTTATGCATTTTCCTCTTTTTATGCTAAAATTCACACAGGATAAAGCTCAAGAGCCACTCAAGCTAGTGGGTTATTATTAATATGGTAATGATGAATGGATTATGATATTAAAAAAAGTGTGGTTGGTAGGAACTAAATATTACGAGGTTATGGTGGATAGATAGCTATTGACTCTCGACATGAAGATGTTAAGATTGTAGCATTCTGGGAAATATCCACGTGGGAGTCTGTTCCACAAACGATCGACTAGGCTACTTAAAGATTTTATTTAGTAAGGATTAACCCAACTTCTAGGTAATGATTTTTGAATGAGGTATGTGATATGAAAGTAAAAGTAGTGTAACAATACGATTTCTCATCACATCTTTAGAAGATAAGTAGATATTTTTTTTCTTTTAAATCCACTCAACTATCTGAGTTTCGTAGGAATTTCGTCTACAGCTCGCCTTTGAAACTGAATTGGCAAACATAAAATGTTTTCAATGATATTAGATAGTCATAAAAGTAGTGCTTTGAAGAGGTGGACCACCCCAAAAAGTTAAATGGGTGGTCTCAAAACTTCCGGAATACAAGTGGATGGATAAGGGGATGGGGCCCCAGCCATTATTCATATAAGCAGAGAGAGGCAGAAAATCAAGGAGAAAGGGTCCAGCAGTGAGAGAAATAAGTAGCTGACCAGTGAGTGAATAGCTGATCAACGGTCGGATAGAAAGGGACCAGTGGCAGTTAAGAAGATAGCACTTCAGCCGAAAGGAAATATAGCTGACAGTGAGGAATCAGCAGTGACCGAAGCGGCAGGCAGAGAATGTAAGGGTTTTTTTTTGCGTGACCGTATAGCAGTTCACTTCTCGAAACTGAAGGAAGGATCCCACAGTTAAATGAGAAATCGTATTGTTGTTAACTCACAACCAGTGTCATTAAAAACAGTAGTCGTTATTATTTTTTGTTGAATACGATCACGGCCAAGAAGACGAACCTGTGAACATAGCGAGTTGGCTGTATATGCAGATACAAACAACCTTGGATGTCATCACAGGTGCAGTGAATGGCGGACGAGCGGAGAACGTCGTCACAAATTTCGTCATGAAAGTCTTCACAGTAGAAAATGAAGATTATGAGGTTAAGGAGGATAGATAACGACTGAACCTTGTTTTAGAGGGGCTAAGATTGTAATCAGGTTGAATGCTTTACGAAGATTGAGTGTCTCACAGCAATTGAACTAATATAAACGAAATTAATACGAATATAGAGTTATCCGTTTTTGTGACCTTGTGTTAAACTAGACTATGCTTAGAGCAGTTAGTGGTTAACAGTTTCATTTTGTTGGTTAATTTATATTTCAATTCTTCCTAGCTGCTCCAATACTGTACCCGTGTATATCTCATTACTGCTTATGCATTTTCTGTGTATCACTGTTGGAAACAAATTATGTTAGATTTTTTGGGTACCTTGGTACTAGTGAGCCAGCAAAAATGAGCTGACTCATTTTATAGTTCACCAATAGAAGGCTTAACCAATCAGAAGGCTCAAAATATTCAATGCAACGTGTATAAAGGCAGCCATGTTTTTTTCCGAATATTCACTGACAGCCAGCCTTTGATATCGAAAACTGAAGAATTACGGAACAGCTGCTGATGGTATTGGCGATATAGGCGGATTCAGTAGAGTGTCTGACTCGTGAGTGTTAATCTTTAACGTTGTTTCATTGAACAGATTACGTACTGCGCTGTATTCTATATTCATAGACTATGGTGAACATGGTTAACAAATTACTGACCAAGAGCCACAAAAGGTAGAGTGTTACTTAATGAGATCGTTGTATAGACGTAAGATGTGCGGATTATGAGGATATGTAAGATAGACATGAAGAGGTTAAAATCGTAATGATCGAGGAAGCATCCTCTTCGGGTTCTGGTCCGTTCAACAATTAGGTATTATTTTTGTTGAACGTCTTTAAATGATGTGGTTTCTGTTATTTGGTATAGATCTTTATACGTGATTCTATAGCACCAGTCCACAAAGGTCGAGAAGGATGGTTCTCGCTAAGACTTCTAGTCTTCATTTGCTCGAAGCCATTTTTAATGATTAAATCTAAGAAAGCGGTTTTATACAGCCGACAGTCTCGACCTGAGGGGGCTATTTAAGAACATAAACTGAGTTTCAGGTTAATGTTTTCATTTTGTAGCAGTTTGCGATGTTGGTCGAAACTACCTCTAACGCCGCCTATTCCGTGTTCTATTTCTTTTTCTCCTATACTAGGCACGGTGGGGTAATGGATAGCGGCTTGGATTGAGGAATCGGAGAGCCGAGTTCGAATTCCAGTCGAATCCATTACATTCACTTACGTGCTAACACCCTTGGGAAAGGTGTGAATCATCTTTCTTCTCCCTCCAGCTATGGGTAAATAGCAGACTGGGTTCTATAGCCTTGGATGGCAACTGGCCTAGAAGGAAAACTATGAATTCAAACCTGCTCTTAGAGGAGGGTGAATGGAGTCTCTCTGAGCCTTGGCTGGCAATCTATTTAGTGTCGGTGTCACGATAAAAAACACCCTTGATAGCCCTAGCGAAGCATCAAGAATTCAGCTATTTGACAAGATTATGAACTACGCCAATCAAAGTATTGGTGAGTTCAATCTGAGGCCGCAAGATGATAATGATAACTGTTAATATTTACATCAATCTGTTTCTATCTATCTAGATAGCTAGCTATCAATCTCTCAGTATATTCACATATATTTCATTTTCTTTTCTAGAATATTTATATTTGTCTGTCAAACCTTTTCTTTCTTTCTTTCTTTCTTTCTTTCTTTCTGTTCCAGTCTGTTCATATTTATCTCTCTTATTTTTACACCAAGGTATTTAAAGTGTTTAGTATTTTCTAATTTCACATCCTGAATTTTGGGGTGGATTCAGGGTACCAGCAGTGCTTTCATTCCCCACCAAGATCATAGTTTTTGTTTTGAAACATTTATCTTAAGTCCTACTTCTTTAAAGACTTAGTAGATAATTTCTTTTCTTCAAAATAATTCTGATCCCAACTATGAATGCCTATGATATCGGCATAGCCTCGCTTCCCAAAATCAGTACACTGGCTTCGGGAGGGGAAGAGAGAACGCTGTTTTCTATTATTAGATCCGTTTGGGAAGTGGTATGCATTCCTTAAATTATCAGTGCCCATCTCTTCATATCTGTGCTTGTATATGCACAGAGCATAGTTTCGGAAGAGATTAAATAGATTGAAGTTTTCATTTCTGCCTTCTGATGTGGTTGGGCATTTTCCGGGATTTTTGTTTAGTAAAATACAAACAGAC